AATAAGAGAGAGTTAGTCAAAGCAAGATGTTTTTTGATCTTATACACCCAGAGAAACATCATGCTGTTAGTCATAGTTACATGTCTTTTGAGAATCCCACAATTAAATTTATTTTTGCAAGCGAAGAAAGTGTCTTTCAGACAAAGGAGATCAAAATTAATTTTGGCAACAGCAAAAATAATAGGAATAAATAGACATATTCTATGTGTTGAGTAGCTGGTCAGTACATCCCACAAATGAACTCTTGCTGTAAGTCAGCTGGGTATTAAGTGCTCCTACTGTGCAAGTCCCCCATTCTGATTTAGTGATTTATTTCTGATTATAAATTTCAAATTGCTTTCACTCAAAAGCAGGCTACCCACAACTACAATATCATATGTGTCAACATATTTCCAATGTATCTTCTTTGCCTGCTACCTAATCTATTAATATTATCAGAGCTGTGACATTTCTGTTTATTTCTGCATTATCATATTAATTGTATCCCCTTCTATATCAGTGTAAAAATATATTGGAGATCACTTATGTTTATGGTGTTAGGTATCCCAGGTGCTTTTTTCATGATGCTATGTGTATGAATACTGTCAGAAAGATCAGATTTATGAAGAAAGCTTTATATATTTTAAGCAAACCTATTAGGCCTAATGAAAAAGTATCAAATGGTGTTACCTACCTGATGATGCCGGACACAAATTAATTCCTAAATTATCATCATCTTTGCCAAGTGTATCTTTACCCACAATGCTGGAGCTACATTTCAGAATTTGGCATAATATCCTTGAGTTTTGATAAGAAAGTGATTAGATTTCCAAATTAGGGGTTTTTTACCTCTGAAAAGCAATTTCATGTAGTGTTGATTGACTTGAAGCATGGTTAATTGAATAGCTAAGTGGCAAATAGCTATATGGCAATGAAGGTTTATTATATTTTTAATTATTTAACCTATTTGTTGTTGTTAAAGTTTTTACTGTTGAAGTTCTGCTATTCAATGTGCTGCATTTGTTCCACTCTTTTGAATCTTTAATATAAAAGAAGAGCCTTGGAATAAAATAAAAATCAGGGATTGACAGCAGTGGAGAACTTTATCAACAGCAACAGTCTGATCTTGGCAACATGTACCTGTACAAACAAATTTGCAAATTTGAGACTCATCTCTGTCATGACATGTAAGACTTGGAGTCAATTTGTATATCCTGAATTCTGTACTGTAATGAGTGATATCTTCTGCTACAATACCTTGTAGTTCTCATGATACAACTCACTATAATGATAAACATGATCTCTGCTATAAACTAGTTCCTTTTGCAAGCAAAATTCACTACAGAATTGTGGTCATATGTAAGGTATAAAATATGTCTGGTGTCTGTTGTGTTACACCACAAAATCTTCAGCCACTATATATGAGCAGCACAATTCTACACATACAGTGTCAGCTCTAGGAGGAGTTTTTTCCCAGTGAGTAACTACTTGTATAAACACGGACTTCAGGAATTCATACCACTCTTGATTGAAACAGTACCAAGGAATGGAAGCTGCTTGGAAACTCTTGGAACTTTTGTAATTGCAAAATTACTCTCATCTGTGAGTCAGTTTGAAGAAAAAGTGTTTGGGGCTGCTTGGGTTTGAGTTCAAAGAGTTCAAAGAATAACTGTGGTTTGCTAGGGCAAGAAGTAAGTAATTAAAACAATATTTAGAGACACACTGAGATCTTCAAAATGGGGGAATTTTAATGCTAGCATTTTCTAGACTGGAGTGGAAAGAAAGTGAAAATAACCCAAAAATGTATTAATGCATGTCTCGTTCAATCCCCTAAGAGTTTCTGAGAGATGTACAGTAACTGCAGTTATTATCAGAGAGCTGACTGCAAGAGCTGTTTTCTGACATTTTCAGGGTATTATGGGCTTGTGAGTTGCCACACCAAACTTGCTCAATTCACAAGTCAAAACAAGACTTTATTATAAGGCTAACAGTGCAACCCCAGTCTATTGTCTGAAAGTTGGCCACTGCTATTGCTTCATACACCCCTACCAAAAGGGTGACTTTGGACTCAGGGCTTCTGTTGCACTTCTCTTGGTGAACTCTGAAACCAAACAGAATTTGCTGTGTAGTTCTGCAGCATACTGAGTCAGTGGTGTTAGTGGGAATGATTCTTTTTTTCTGAGAGTTTGAGACGGGACTTCAAAGACACATGCTGTAAAAGTAAACACATAAATTAACCAGGTGCTGTTTCTATAGTATATTATTCACTAAATGTATGTGAAGGTTTAGGTAGTGGGCTTATTATTTACTATTATTCGGTATTGCAGATAGATACTGAGATGTTTTCACATTAGGGCTTAAACATCCTCCAGTGAACTAGGTTTTTGTTATACCTGTGGTCTCCTGAGCTACTGCGGAGGGGACATGCCCATTATCAAAAATTACTTGATTAAACTAGAATATGTGTTAGGAAATACTGTTCCAGTTATTTGAAGTTGGATGCTACTGATATACTGTGCTGATTTTTCGTTCTTTCTTTTTCTTTTTTATTTTCTCCTCCCTTCGGCTTCCAGTACTTACAGAGCAGAATTTCCCATCTTTGAAGCAATTAATACTGCTTTATGGTTGATTTGAAAGTCCAAAGACACAATGAGTTATATAGCTAATAGCCCACCAAATCTTCATTTCTTTTCAATTTTTCAGAGCACAAAAATTTACATTCAAAATTTTTTCTTATGTAGTTGACATTGTTTAAAGGTTGAGTAGAAATATTCTCTTAATGTGCACTATTTTCTCAACTGATGCAGGGGTTTGGTTGAACGCAGAGGGCTGAGCCAGCCCAGTGCCTTGCCACTGCCACCAGGAGTGGCACCATCTGCCTTGTCCCTCCTTGCCACCTCCCTTTTCCTCTCCCGAGCCGCACTTTACTCAGGCTGGGACACACCCTCCCCTCTGCTGGCTCCTGCACTTATCTGGCTGCAGGGAAACTGGAATGACTGAATCCCTTTGCCTTTTTGCTGGGTGAGTTCTCTGCTCGGAGCCAGCTCCTGGTGTGCTCAGAGAAGCGCTGAAGCCCAGCAGCAGCAGGGCCCTCACACCTGGGAGGAGGAGGAGGTGAGGAAGAATCAGATCTTCCTATTTTAGCCCCAGCCAACTTGCAACTGATTTAGCTGTGTCACTTCTCTATGTATTAACAAAATTACCTAGGTAATTTGGGTTTTTTCCTTGGTGTAAAACTACATAAACATTTAAGAAAATGACAGTTAATGCCTAGATTGCTGCAGTGACTGTGCTGGGCCAGAGCTGGTGTAATCTCATTGATTTTAGGATATTTATTCCATATTCTAAGATGTGAAAATTGGTGACACCCACCAAACTGATTTATGGAAACTGTATGGTAGACCCCAGTCATTTAGTAAATTTCATTAGTTTAACTGCAGACTTTGAGTTTTGGTTTTCTTCTGTAATGGACTCAGTAAAAAAAATAGTTTATAATTTACTGTAAATTTTAGCATGCCCTTGAAATCAAGGTTTGAAAAGACTTCTAAAAATATATTTAGTAGTATATTGACCTTTTTTGTCTTGAAGTGCACATCTGTCAGGTATTTATAAATTAATACATTTACACCCATGGATCAAGACATTCTGTAGACTTGCAATTCATATTTCTAGGGTCAGTATTTAAAAAAATATTTATATCTTTTTATCTACTCTTTTTACCATTTCCAGGGAACAATGGCAGAACTCCAATATAGAAAGATGTCTTTGATAGTCACTTTCCTAGGTGTGAAAAGATACTGCCAAGGATGAAGTAGCTTTCATTCAAGGAGTGAATTTACCCTTAATGTTTTGATGGTTGAAAACCATTGAAATGAGACTTTGTAAAATGTGTAAACATTCAAATAAAATAACTGCATGGACTTGAGCTAATGCAGCTTTATATTTTTAGTGTTTAATATTATTTGCTTTATTTTTAATGTTTTCCAATGGTAATAGATTTTTAAAATAAAGTTCATTTTTTTTTTTATTTTATTAGTCCTAATTGCCTTGAAATAAATGCATCAACCTAAAGAATTATTTTAAAATCAAACCTGTTGAAGCCACTTGAAACATAACACATCTCTATACATAATTTTTCTGTATTCATAGCAGCATATTTGTAGAAAAAAATAGTCATTTTTATGTTTATAGCTGATTATTCCTTCAGAGGTCCTGGAAGGACTGGGGTAATCAGTTGAGGATGGTGACTCAAGAATGTTCTGGAACAGCCTGTCTCTATCATGTATTAGACACATAAAAGCAGTCTAATTCTGTGATTATTCATTTTAGAGGCAGAAGTTTTATCCTTTTATTGATCTACATTTATGCTACATTTTTGTATATAATGCTCTTTGTGGTAGCTGTAGGTTTTTTCTAAATTACCAAGAGAAGCCAGCACCATATTCTTTACTAAGCAAAAACTCTTCTGAGGAGCATAAACAATAAATAAATTAAATTTATTTATGTATTTTTGAAGGAAAAAAGTTAGAGGAACACCACTAATGAGAGTGATACCATTTTCACAGAATCCTACATCGTCCCAAGCAAGTATCTTTACTTGCACTGTTGGAGGTTTCTGCTTACATTTTTTAGTAAACTCAGCTGCTCACATCTCCAGACATATGTTCAGTGTCCAGCTCTCTATGAGTGCTTTCACTACTGCTTGTCTGTAGCATACAAAATCCCAGTTTTATGTTAACTAGGTGGGTTGCTGAGTTTTGAGCATGCATTCTAGATTGGGCATTTGTGAATTGTTTTTAAGCACCAAAGTGGACAATGAAAGCTTTATCTCGATTGCCCAATTAGCAGTAATCATTCTTGCTAAACTTTGATAAAGAGCTGTAGTATGCAATGAATGTAAAGTATTCATTCCTGAGTAGTTGTGGGGTTTTTTTTTGGTTTTTTTTTTTTTCCCCTCTCCCAACATTTCTGTGTTTTGTAAAATAGTCTTATCCTGCTTGTTATTTCTATTCATGTTGCAGATTGAGAATGTTGATGTCTGCCTTAGCTTTCTGGCAGCCAGAGGCGTAAATGTCCAAGGTCTTTCTGCAGAAGGTAAGAGAAACAAATAATCAGAAAAAATAACAAGATTTTCTCCTGAAAGCTGAATTTCTTAACACAAATCACCTGCTCCTAAATACCAAGCTCCAGCTGTCTTGAACAGCATGCAAATATACATTAGTGATAACAAGTGAGAAAGTTTCTTTTAATTTTCCCTTGAAATTGAACCAAGAAATGCAATGTTTATGAAGTTTGAGACAATGTTTTAAAACAATATTTTTTCAATGGTATTAATCTTTTCATGTTACCTCCACAATATTGGGTAGGCACAGAACTTCCCGAGCATACTTTTTTAAACTTGTTCATATATTTGATTCAAAACAGCAAACAAGAACATAAGAATCTTGCCCAGTGAAATAAACCCAGGGAAGACTATTTGTTTCAGCAAATTTATTATTAGTAGTAATGCTGTCCAGATGAGTCTGAAAATTATAGTATTCCTTTGATGTCTCTTATTAAGTTAAAGAGTGAATGGTTTTGCTGCTTCAGTTATTCTGCTGTATTAGTCACCTTAAATGATTGCCTAACGTAGTTGCAACTAAATTAATAAATAAAAAACATTAAAAATATCAGTTGTCGTAATTATTATGTAATATTGCCTTGTTCATGTAAGAGGCAAGTTATTTAATAAAATGTATATGTCTTTGTCCTGTAGCAGTTCTGCAAGGTGCTGCTCACCTTTGACCTCTATGGCACCTGAAGGTAACAGGTCCAGAGATGCAACCCTGTATTTTTATTTTGCTTGTAGCACAAATAAAAGCCGGAAGGATTTTTTTCTCCAGAGATGATAATTTCAGTTGAATTCTAGAAGAATCATGGAGAAAAAATTTGGAAAGCTAACCACTATTTGATTTTTAAATTAATTCAGAATTACCATCTTTTACCATATGAACCTACTTAGGATTTTAAACATGCAACACAGACATTATATCTACTATCTATTCACCTTGACTGTCAAACTGTGAAAAGCTCCCCTAGCAATTTAAGAGAACCTTTGTGTGTACTTGTAGATATCTTGTTGCAAGAGAATACTGAAAGTTTGCGTGCACTCATTCACCTCAAGGCTATTCAGAACCAGAATTTCTAGAGCAGCCTATTTTTACTTTCATATAAAGTATTAATTAGATGTGTGAGTAGCATGGATTTATTTTATGAGGATATTCATCATTCTTTAGTACCTTGACATAGTGCATGATATATTTTCTATACTTTATAAAACAAGAATCTGTCTGCATTCTGAAATGCCTTTATTCCTACCTTTGTTTTGCTTTGGGAAATAATTTTAATATATTTAACTTAATATATTAAATTCATATACTATTAAAAGCAATACTACTACATAGGACTAAATGCTAAGACTATGTTTTAAAATGCTCTTTATTCTTCAAAACCAAATTTTAACATTTAGTGCTGAAGTAAGATTAAAATTAATTCTGCTGTTACACAGTTGGTCATGAATCTGGAGTAAATCCACTATCTTCATAATGATATTCTCAAAAATACTGCAGAGGTGTGATTTCCTTAAATATACCATTTTTACTGTGTATAATCCTGAATATTACAATTCTTTAGGGGGAGAAGAAATTTAGTTTCTTGTAATAAGCTTTGGTAAATGTGTCTTGTTACTACTGGGTCATTTATTATTGACCTGAGAGGTTTTTGAAAAATAAACCATCAGCTTAAGAAGTTTTGAAGATTTCACAACCAGTTTATGACCTCATTATGACAATTGAACAAAGAGGTCTAGAAAAAAAGTAATTTTCAAATCTTGGCTGCCAAATCTCTGCTTGAGAGCCTAGTTGATAAATAATAATCCAGTTGCTACAAAGAAAAACAATCCTCTCATTCTCCAAGTATATGTTTAGTACACATTAGAAGTTTCTGGATTTTTTGCTTGTGAGAAATCTTCTAACTTTATTAAAAGTAATAAAGAAAAAGTTACTGATAACATCCTTCCCTAAAAATAGTAAAAATATATTAGCACAAAAAGAGCAAAATTTTAAAATTGAAAAATGTTGAGTGAGATTTAACAAAGGATTCTTCTTCTGAGCATTAATTGATGCAAAATGATAAGAATAAATAAACTGGTGTCATGTACTGACAGTCTTTTCAAATCAGAGCCACTTAAAATGGATAGTTATATGGGTTTTTTGGGGTGTTTTTAGGATAATTTTAAATACAAATTTTCTGTATTTCTTGGCAATGATCTTCCTTGAAACCAACATGACTGCAAAAGTCGTATTGCCTAAAAAGTTTACGTGTTCTGGGAGAGTTCTACATGTCTCTCGTGGTCTCATTGCTAATCAAAGATCCTGCAGCATCTTCACAGGGAAGATGAATTAAGTATGGCTGCTTAGAACAAATTTACATTTTTAGAAGTATATTCCAGTGTCTAGGATTAGGTTTGCTTTTGAAGAACAGGTTGTGAACATAAAAGCTCCAGTTTTTGCTGCCTTAGTATATGTATTAATGTTTCACCTAATCCTATTGAAAGAAAATTAATATTGTTTAAGAGACATGAAAATGACAGTAATTTTGTATAAACTCAACTTGAAAATTTGCCTTGGAAAGCTTTGCAGCACACACAACTCAGTATTTTGATTTGCAGGGAAGGCAGAAAGGTTGAGGCACTACATGTCAGGTTGCAAGTCTATAGGTCTAATAAAAACCTTTCACAAGGTGGTCAGTGCCAAAGAAAATTAATAATGAGGTTATGAGCATAGCTACATGCTGCAGATAATTTCATTAAAATCTTCTGAGGTTTCATTTTTGACACTGAGATCTTTTATCAGCAAAGAATAACAACATCCCTGTAAAATCTTCATCTCAGGCTAGGCAAAAGCTAAAAAAGAATTGGGAATCATAGTGATACTACCGGGATTCACCAGAATTGTATTCAGGTAGCTGTTTGGCCTTGTCAAAGCTGTAGCTTTTGTCTTCATTATCAGTAAGAGCAGTATAAAATAGAAAGCTGTAGAATCATGTCATTTGAAGGTTCAAAGATGTAATCATGAGCATTACAGTCATATTTTTTAAAAACAACCTTCCATTTATTTTCTTCTCTCATGTTTCCTGCACAAATCTGTATTAATGGGTATGTTCTCACTGACAAGAACCATTACCATACAGTCTTTCTGATTTTTCTAGAACTCATGATTTATTACCAATGTGCACAGAATTTGTTCCAAAAGCAGTAAGAGCAATTTAAAGTCATGAGGTTTGACAGAATTTATATTTAATACTAGAAAGATTTCAGATTTTTCTGAAAGAGCTTTTCCTTAATGAGAATATTTGTACTTTGTTGGCACAGGAGTATTCATTTCAGATTATGTGCTCTATTTAAGGTTCGATATACTCTTGTTTATGACCATGCAAATGACTCATCATGAAGGCATTGTAGAGATAGTTTTTTATTGCTACACTGACATGTAAGATACCAAAAATATTTTAAAAAATATACTATCAGTGACTCCTAAAATGTCTCTGATATTATAGGTAAATTAAGAGATATAAGATATAAACATGTATAGCTATAGGTATGTACAGGCATATTTTAGTATGACTTTTACAAAACTGAAGTCTAAAAACAAAGTGTTTTCACTTCCTTTTCTCTTTATTGTTTTTTTAATAGAAATAAGGAATGGAAATTTGAAAGCCATTTTAGGGCTGTTTTTCAGTTTGTCTCGGTACAAACAGCAGCAACATCATCAGCAACAGTACTACCAGTCTTTGGTGGAGCTACAACAGCAAGTCACTTCGACTCCAGCTGAAGTCAGCCAGTCCAAAACACATCAAGATATGCAGTCAAGGTAGGTTAAAGAGTTATTTTTCTCAGGTGTAAAAGATTTTTATTTTTCTGTTTGAAAAAGAAAAAATTTGTATAAAAAATAAGCCATTTGATTTTTTTTAATCTATTTATACTGTGGTTTCAATGTATTTTTTTATAGTAAGCCTGCATTTCTTGGGAGTAGAGTTAGAGTAAGAGCAGAGAACAATACCAATTAGTTTTAGTTCCAATTTCAGTTAATTGGAACTAAAAATTAGGGCTTTCTTTTACTTTATTATTATTTTTTTCTGCCCATTGCACAATAAAAGGCTACTAGCACACCATGTGGTTAGTATACTGGTTGTTTTAATGTTTTCCTCACATACCCAGTTCCAATGAAAAATTTCCATATAAATGAAAAATTTCCAATAATTAACAAAACAGATGGAGAAAAGGCAAAATTAATACTTTCAATTATTATAAACGCATTCTATCCCTACATTCTGGTTTTTGAGGGCCTAATTCTGTTTAAATGTTTTTTACAAGGGAGAAGAAATAGCTTAAATATAGTTGGTTCTTTTAAGGGGGCAGTTTTTATTTAGTTTTAAGAACTACATGAACAATGGTTGCTGTAATTCAGCAATCATTGGAACCCAATAATTGCTGAATTACATTGCTTTCAGACTGCATCTGAAAATATATTTTCAGAAGGTTGCTTGAAGGCCACTATAGAAGAATGAGTTTGAAACACAAATATCTGTTTAAATGGAAAGAGTATTAACAATGGATATTTTATTGGTGAAATTTAAAAAAAGACAACTGTAGATCTTCATGAAAAGTTTTTCGAGTTTTGTTGTTGCTTTGTTTGGTTTAGTACTTGTTCCACTTTTTATATCCTTGTTTAAAACATTTTTTGTGGATTTACTGAACAACTGCATGTCAAGAATGTGGTAAGTCAATGATCTAGATTGGATTAAAAGTATCAGACTAATATATTGAGATTCTGGTTCTTAAGTCTATTGATATATAAATTACACTTTCATGTATATAATAAACGTATTTCTTCTTCAATGGACTTTTAACACTTCAGCCTGATAGAAATCTGTATCTTGGAAATAGAATTATTTTAAAAATACATTTTGGAGGAAAATGTTGCTAATAGAATTTTAATTACCTCATTTGATGCAAAAATAAGATACATATGTTTGGCTGGGTTATTATGAAGTGAAATGCTTTTCTTTTCTCTGCTGCTGAAAATTAATGTCTTTGAAGGTTTTCCCTGTGAAGTATACTTTTAACATGTAACCTAGGAAATTATGATGGAGTCCTTGAAAAGTCTGACCATTCTCAACATTTTCCAAAGCTGAATTTCTCCTTTATGGAGCATATTTAATACTGCATGAGAGAGTAACATCTTGTTATTCAGGAATTAAGTGTTCACAGCTTTAATCAAGGGAATTAACAGCTTAGCCAGCTTCCTTTAAATACCTTTGGTTACTAGTTTTTTGTTTTTTTTTTTTTTTTAATTTAGTGAAAGAACTGAAACATTTCCTGATTTTATAATTTATCCATGGTGAATTTTTAATAACAAAAAAAAATTACGGTGTTCCTTTATACATCATGACTATTGCAAGAGTTTTTCCAGAAAAGCCTGGATAAAGCAGGTTTTTTACTATTTGGATTATGATGATTCCACATGGTAGGCAAAGACGTGGTGAATCTTTTATTAAGCTTTCCATTATAATTCCCTGAGACCTCATGGTCTTTCTGCACTTTTTTATCCCCTTCTATTTTGCTGTGTTAAAACATGCTTCATTTATAAAAAAGGCAATTATTCCATGTCCCAGATCCTCCACATTTATGCTTTTGTAGAGTGACATCTAAGGCTGGTGTAAAAACTTTCATCTTCCATCAGTGTACTTTAAACTTTCCACCTTAATGTAGGAGTTTAAAACAATTTATTCTTTGATTAAATTTCTGTTCATTGCTAGGTTTCAGAGGTAAAATATTTCTGTGTAAATAATTACCAGACCAAGATTGATGCCATCTTTCTTACTTCTTATCTGTAAACTGAAAGCAAGATTTTTTCTGTTTGCTTTCACATACAGAGAAGCTTGATGCTTGTTACTATAAAGCCTCTATTACCTGAGGGAGTATGGTTTCTTCTATCCATATATTTTTCATTTAAGTCTTTAAGGATAAAGAAAGGTGCCTATCGTAAACTTTCTCCTATGTGAAAAGTTTCTATCTTATACTAAAAATATAAATACATCTAGTATTGTGAGCTGCTGGCAAAACAAGAAGCCCAGGAACTTAGAAACAAACAGAAATACAATTTTTTTTTCAATACTAATTTTCTTTTTTTTTCATTTTTTGAAGTAATATAAAAAAATTACAGAATCACAGAATCACAGAATAATGAGGTTGGAAGAGACCTCTAAGATCATCAAGTCCAACCTATTCCATAACACCACAACTAGATTATAGCACCAAGTGCCAAGTCCAGTCTTTTTTTAAACATATCCAGAGATGGTGATTCCACCACCTCCCTAGGAAGACAATTCCAGTATTTTATTATTCTTTCAGTGAAAAAATTTTTCCTAATATCCAACCTAAACCTTCCCTGACGTAGCTTGAGACTGTGTCCTCTTGTTCTGCTTGCTGCCCGGTGGAAGAGATCAACTCCCACCTGTCTACAACCTCCCTTCAGGAAGTTGTAGAGAGCGATGAGGTCTCCTCTAAGCCTCCTCTCCTCCAGACTGAACAACCTCAGTTCCTTCAAATGTTCCTCACAGGGCTTGTGTTCCAAGCCCCTCACCAGCCTCGTTGCCCTACTCTGGATGTGCTCAAGCATCTCTATGTCCTTCCTGAACTGAGGGGCCCAGAACTGGACACAGCACTCAAGATGTGGTCTCACCAGCACCGAGTATAGGGAAGAATAACCTCCCTACTCCTGCTGGTCACACAATTCCTAATGCAGGCCAGGATGCCATTGGCCTTCTTGGCCACCGAGGCACACTGCTGGCTCATATCCAACCGGCTGTAAACCAGCACCCCCAGGTCCCTTTCTGTCTGGACACTGTCCAGCCACACTGTCCCCAACCTGTAACGCTGTAGGGGATTTTTGTGTCCAAAATGCAGAACTCAGCAATTAGACTTATTAAACTTGATGCTGTTGGACTCTGCCTATCCGTCCAATCGATCTAAATCTCTCTGCAGAGCCCTCCTTCCTTCCAACAGATCAACACAAGCTCCCAGCTTAGTATCGTCTGCAAATTTACTAATGAAGGACTCAATGCCCTCACCTATGACTTCTATAAAAATATGAAATAGAACTGGTCCCAGCACAGACCCCTGAGGGACACCACTGGTGGCTGGCCCCAGCTGGATGCAGCACTGTTCACCAGCACTCTCTGGGCCTGGCCATCCAGCCAGTTCCTAACCCAGCGAAGTGTGCTCCTGTCCAAGCCCTGGGCTGCCAGCTTTTCCAGGAGTATGCTATGGGAAACAGTATCAAAGGCCTTGCTGAAGTCTAAATAGACAACATTCACAGCCTTTCCTGCATCTACCAGACGAGTCACCTGGTCATAGAAGGAGACCAGGTTGGTCAGACATGACCTACCCTTCCTAAACCCATGCTGACTGGGTCTGATACCCTGGCCATCCTGTAAGTGCTGTGTGATAGCACTCAGCATTAACTGTTCCATTATCTTACCTGGTACTGAGGTCAGGCTAACTGGCCTGTAGTTACCAGGATCCTCCTTCCTAACTTTTTTGTAAATGGGTGTCACATTGGCCAGTTTCCAATCATCTGGGACCTCACCAGTGAGCCACGACTCCTGATAAATGATGGAGAGTGGCTTCACAAGCACATCTGCCAGCTCCCTCATCACCCTAGGGTGGATCCCATCTGGTCCCATTGATTTATAAATATCCAAGTGTCCCAGTAGTTCTCTAACTGCCTCCTCTTGGATAACAAGAGGACCATTGTGCTCCCTGGCACCACCTATCAACCCCTGAGGACAGTTGTCTTGAGGACAAGCTGCCTTACCACTAAAGGCTGAGGCAAAGAAGGCATTAAGCATTTCTGCCTTTTCCTCAGCTTTAGTTACTAGGTTGCCTGCCTCATCCAATAAGAATCTGAGGTTGGTTATACCCTTCCTTTTACCATAAATATATTTGTAAAAACATTTTTTATTCTTTTTAACAGAAGTTGCCAAGTTAAGTTCAAACTGAGCTTTGGCCTCCCTAAATTTTTTCCTACATGCCCTGGCAGGTCCCTTAAATACTTCCTCAGAAAGCAGTCCCTCCTTAAAGAGATGGTACTTTTTTTTTTATTTCTAAGTTCCTTCAAAACCTCATTTCTCATCCAGACTGGACGTTTGCCTCTTCGACTCATCTTTCAGCACACAGGAACAGTCTGTTCTTGTGCCCTCAAGATCTCTGCTTTGAAGCACACCTGTCTCTCCTGGACTCCTTTGTTTTCAAGGGCTCTTTCCCAAGGAGCTCTCTGAATAAGTCTCCTAAATAGGCCAAAGTCTGCCCTCTGGAAGTCCAGTGTAGAGTTCTTATTTATATTCCTCCTTATTTCACCAATTATCAAGAATTCTATAATTTCATGATCACTATGCCCCAAGCGTCCTCCAACCTCCACATCACCCACCAGTCCATCTCTATTTGTGAACAACAAGTCTAACATAGTCTCTCCCCTGGTGGGCTTGCCCACCAGTTGTGACAAAAAATTATCCTCCACACACTCTAAAAACTTTCTAGATTGCTGTTTTTCTGCTGTATTAAGTTCCCAGCAGATGTCTGGTAGGTTGAAGTCACCTACAAGAACAAGGGCTGATGATCCTGAAACATTGTTTAGTTGCTTATAGAATAAGTTGTCCACTCTTCATCCTAGTTGGGTGGACGATAACAGACTCCCAGTAGCATGTCAGCCTTGTTGGCCCTTCCCTTAATTTTTACCCATAGGGACTCAACTTCATCATCATTAGTTTCAATACCTATGACATCCAAAGCCTCCCTAATACAAAGGGC